TGGGTGAGGTTAAATTCTGAGTAGGCTGTGCCTCCATTTCCCCACAGGGAACCGCTGTCTGCAGCCTAAGCAGCAGGATTTAACCTGGTTAAATTCTGCTCAGATCCCTGCAGAAAAGCAGGACTGATGAGCTGAAAGTTCAATCCTCCTTGGTGCTCCTTTGTCAGTGTGTTCCCTGCAGGGGATTGCACTGGCAAAGCAGACACTAGTAGAAGGCAGAGCAAGATACCCCTCCAGCTGGGGGTGAGAAGAAGGCACGTCTTCTCTCTTTCACATTCCTGAAGTGTCTTCAGCTATTTAGCTTCTGTAGCAACCCATTGCCCTGACATACATTTCAAAGCGGAAACATAACATGGTCTGGCTTATTTGCTTAACACAAATGAAAGTGTTTCAGTCTTCTTCTTTTTTTGTAAACAGACCCCCATTTTATCAACATAGAATTACAGGTCCTGGGTTGTTGGTGGGGTGGGGTGGGGGGTGATCCAGAGGTCCTATGCCCTGGGTCATTTGTTCTGGGCCTTAGATCTCCTGCCCCTGCCCCTTTTAATCATTTGGGGCCGTGCCCTGTGTCTTTTAGGTCTGAGGTTCCCCACCCCTAAGCTAAGAGATGGGTGGCAATTTGTATGAAGGTGTGATACCCATGAATCTATGTTGACATGAATCTATGAGATAGTTTGAGTTTCAATTGAAATAAAAATTGTAAGCGAGATTAGCATGTGCATTAATTGCAGCATAGGCCTTCGAGGAGTCTCACCTGCATGGTTCTTGCTCCTGATGCTTCCTTCCATTCTGCATAGCTGCTGAATATCCCTTAAGCGTTTGACCCTATGGCTACACCATGCTCGGTTTCATATTTAGTTTCAATTTCTTGTTATGGTTTTATACAATTTGACTTTAGGCAAATTATATACCTTATATTTATTTGTATTATATAATGTTCTGATCTAGCATTCCCAAACTTGGTGTCCTCCAGTTGTGTTGTTGTTGTTGTTTAGTCGTTTAGTCGTGTCCGACTCTTCGTGACCCCATGGACCAGAGCATGCCAGGCACCCCTGTCTTCCACTGCCTCCCGCAGTTTGGTCAAACTCATGTTTGTCGCTTCAAGAACACTGTCCAACCATCTCGTCCTATGTCGTCCCCTTCTCCTTGTGCCTTCCATCTTTCCCAACATAGGGTCTTTTCCAGGGAGTCTTCTCTTCTCATGAGGTGGCCAAAGTATTGGAGCCTCAGCTTCACGATCTGTCCTTCCAGTGAGCACCCAAGGCTAATTTCCTTAAGAATGGATGCGTTTGATCTTCTTGCAGTCCATGGGACTCTCAAGAGTCTCCTCCAGCACCATAATTCAAAAGCATCAATTCTTTGGCGATCAGCCTTCTTTATGGTCCAGCTCTCCAGTTGTATTGGGCTACAATTTCCATCAACTCCAATGATAGGGTCTGGATGTTTCTTGAAAAACAAACAAACCTGCCCTCATGTTGTTTTTTAAAAAAAATGTTCTACAATGGGGAAGTTGTGAGCTGGGTCCACTAGCTATTCTTTTTGTTCACTGATAAGCCTAAAGTTTAGACAGGTCACACCAAAAAGTGCACACACGGTCAAATCTAAACCCCAGCTGTCTGCCTTATGCATCATATATATATATATAATCACAATTATACAAAGCTTTACAGCAACTGCTGCAAAAGTAATTTGCTTTAACATGCGAACAATGAAATAGCTTCTCCAAGTGCAAAGAGAAAAGTAGAAAATTATTGCTTGTCTTACAAATCTTCTAAACCACCAAGATTCTGGACATACTTCAGAGTTCTTCCTTTGTAAACAGCTTTTGTCCCTAAGCAACAGGGACTAACAGCAGCAAATGGCAGACTTGCAGCTTGAAGGACGTTGCCATTATAAAAAGTGACAGGAGACCAGAAATACTATTCAACTCCCCAGCAAAAAAAAAAAAAAAAAAGATTTCACTTTCCCTCTTCTGTCTCTTCAGTGAGTCCACCCTACTGGGCTAACCCAACTCATTCATGGGTGTTTCACTTTCTTCCATGTAAGTGCTGTTAAAATTGTACCCTTATAAATCAACTTTGGATTTGATTCACTGCTTCTGTGTGCAACATCATGCGGACTGCACCGTGAGCCATTTAGTATTGCTGAGAGACATACTCTCGGCAGGATCTGCTGCATGTACTTTTTCTTAAGTTATCCACTTGAGTGGAAAAATAGAACACCCTGTAGCGTATAGCCCAGACTAAATTCTCCAGTAGTGAAAATACTGTAATAATAATACAGAGGGTGGGGGAGGGAGCGATTCAAGAGTTCTCTAGTTCAGTTCTTTACTCAGAGACACCCAGATCATTAGTGATTGTCCTCATCAACTTCTCTATAAGCGGCAATTAAATGCCATATCCAGACAATTGACCAATACAGTACTGCCTATGATAATATCCAAATCACAGCATACAGGAGAATCATAGCTTAGTCTGTGGATGGAAGCAGGATTTTTTTTAATGAACTACCAGCTAGACCTTCCTAATTCCAAGGTCAGCAATAAACTGGACCATAAGCAAATGATGAGGGCAGAGCACTGCCTTATCTCAGGCCCCAAACAGACAACACAGGAGATTTGTCAACAAGATCTCACACTTTAAAAACAACACAGCAGCTGCCCCATCTGATCGGCAGGACTGTTGGTGATGCAGTAACCGCCTACCCATGTCATTCCCACAACTCAACTCCCAATGCCCCACCTCACCCAAGCTGCTATCTGCCTGAAATGTGAAACACAGAATCATAGAGTTGGAAGGGAGCCATAGGTCATCTAGTCCAACCCCCTGCAAGGCAGGAATCTCAGCTAAAGCAACCAGGACATGCAGGTTTCACACTTTCAGAGTGGTAGCTAGCAAGGTGGGTGTAATGTAAGAAACCCACTAGCACCTTAAAGATTACGGATATGATCCTAACCCCTTACGTGGGAGTAAGCCCCATTGAATTCAGTATTTACATCTTGGTAGACATGGTTAGATTGATCCAGGCCCTGTCAGAGATCCATAGAGGCCCAGGCTACCCCAAGCCATACCCTGGGCCTATTGTTGTTCAGCGTCTTTATAAATGACTTGGATGAAGGAATTGAGGGGATGCTCATCAAATCTGCAGATGACACCAAACTGGGAGGGGTAGCTAATGCCGCAGAAGACAGTCAGAATTCAAAATGACCTTAACAGATTGGAGGTACGACTGTACCACTCTATTCTGCCTTCGTTAGACCACACTTGGAATACTGTGTCCAATTCTGGGCACCACAATTTAAGAAGGATGTTGACAAGCTGGAATGTGTGCAGAGGAGGGCAACCAAGATGATCAAGGGTCTGGAAACTAAGCCTTATGAGGAGCACTTGAAGGAGCTGGGAAAGAGAAGACTGAGAAGAGATATGATAGCCATCTTCAAATATCTTAAGGGCTGTCACATGGAGGAGGGAGCATGCCTGTTTTCTCCTGCTCTAAAGGGTAGGACTCGAACCAATAGCTTCAAGTTGCAAGAAAGGAGATTCCGACTAAACATATGGATAAACTTTCAGACAGTAAGAACTGTTCAGCAGTGGAACAGACTCCCACAAGAGGTGGTGGACTCTCCTTCCTTGGAGGTTTTTAAGCAGAGGTTGGATGGCCATCTATCATGGATGCTTTAGCTGAGATTCCTGCATTGCAGGGGGTTGGACTAGATGACCCTTGGGGTCCCTTCCAACTAAGATTCTATGATTTTATGAAACATAAAAAAAAATGCAAAAACAAAATGAGGCACCACAAAAGAGTAAGTGGTTTGTCAATATATATCAACTGATCTTGAGAGGACATGTTCATCCTGGTATAATATGGTGCCAAGAGAACAGATGCATATTTATTAATATGAGCATTTTAAACTTTAATATGACAACAGCTGTAACAGTTAACAAAGAAATTATCTTCTTTGCTTAAATGGACAGCTCCAAGCCGAGGAACAAGTTGTGAAACTTACCAGACATCAAAACATTAACAAACGTCTAAATAGGAGGCCACCTTTGAGCTTGAGGCCCTGAGTCAAAAGGCCCCCCCGCCCCCCCATTGGTCTAGGATTGTGCTGTTTTTTTAACTTTTGTGGGCAAAAGTCCACTTCATCAGATGCAGCATACACGTGTGTGAAGAGAACAAAAAGAGAAGTAAACAGTGGAAACAAATGTCACAACATGCAAAAAATACAGTTCAACTGAAATTTGAGCAGCTTCCGCAGGAGAGTTAAACACTCCACACCTGGCATCACTACCTCCCATGGCTGAATGGGGGAGTTTGGTGCCCACCATTCAAAACATGGGGCTCAGTTTCTTCCTTGCAACAGAATCCTCTGAAATCTATGGGCTTCAGCAGGCCTAATCCTGCATAGTATCTCAGTGGGCAGGTGACAGGTGCTAGGGGGTAAGTTGGTGACAGGGGGCTGGGATTGACTCTGTGCCATGTGTGCACAGCCCATGTACAAAATATGTAAATACCCGCATAAGCAGCCTGCATGTAATAATGTATATATAACATGCGAAGCAAGTATCCTGGACATTCTGCGTGAAATTCCCAGGAATGCAGAGGCTCACGCACAGCTGTGTACATGGGAGGGGGCAGTGCATGTAAAAAAAAAGCATGATTTGTGTGGGTGCCAACTTGAATAAAATATTGGGAGGGGGAACATGCTTTGCTTAATCGATCACAAGGCGTAGTGGACGCACACTATTTGAATGACAATGCCCATCAATTTTTCGGGGGGGGGTAGGGGAGCGGCCCCCTGAAATATTTTATTGAGAGGGGCTGGCACCAAAGGGACCATAAGAGTTGGCTCCACTCGTGACGAGGACGCCCTTTCACGCGTTTGCGTGGCAGCACCCGTGTTCTGCGCGTTTAGGACCGTGAGGGAGGATGAGGTGACGATTCGTGAGGGCGACGCTCTGCGTGGAAAGCGAAGCCTCCGTTCAACGGCTGCTTTTCGTCAAGGGGGACGTTGGTTTGTTCTCTCTGAGGGGGACATATTCGTGAGGGGTTTCCTTTAATGTGTGCAGACAACGTATCTGCGTGAGGCGGAGGCGGCGGAGGCCCGCGCCCCTCCCCCTCGCCCAGCGCCGCCCACCGGCCTCTTCTCTCCCGCTGCCACATCGTCCGGCGGCGGCGGCGCCGTCTCCTCCTCCCTCACGCGGGCGGCCGCCTCCGCGCGGAGGCTCCCCCACCGCCGCCGCGGCTGGAGCCCAGAGCGGGGCGGTGCTTCCACGAAGAAGGCGACCGGGTGGTGCGGCCTTGAAGAGAGCCGGCGGGAAATGGAGCCCTGCTGCCGCTCCCTGGGACGCCTGCTCCGCCAAGGCCGCAGCTGCCGAGCCCGCCCGTTCCCCGTTTAAAAGCTCTCCCGCCCGCCTCGCAAGCCTCGCTTCTCCTCGGCGGTGGCGGCGCCGGAGATGAGCGAGCGGCCGCCGCCGCCTCCTCCTGCGCCTGCGAAGCCGGGAAGAAGGCGAAGCAGCCGGCCGCTCTGGTCGCCGTAGACGCCGCCGCCGAAGCAGCCGCCGCCGCCGCCCGGGCGATGTGGAGCTTGGGCGCGACGGCGCTGCAGCTGCTCTCGCGGGCGGCCAAGCACGCCTTCGCCCAGGGAGCCCGGCAGGACCTGAACCGCTGGCTGCCCCGGCAGGGGGCGGCGACGGCGGCGGAGCCGGGCGAGGCGCCGGGCCGCGGAGGAGCCTCCGAGGGGCTGTTTTGGGGAGAGCAGAACGGGCTGCACCATTACCCGTCGCCGTCGCCTCCGCACCACCACCCTTCCGTGGAGCCGTCGGTGGAGATCCTGCTGTGCCAGCTGCCCGAAGTGGGTCCCGGCTTGTCCGAGGGCAGGACGTGGCGCTGCTCGGGCTGCCTGCTGGGCACCTGCTGGTGCAAGAGCTGCCTGAGCGCGTGCTTCTTGGCGGCGCTGTGCTTCGCCTCGCTCGCCCTGGTGCGCCAGTACCTGCGGGACCTGATGCTGTGGGCCGAGAGCCTGGACAGCCTGGCCGGCGTGCTGCTCTTCACCGTGGGCTTCATCGTGGTGTCCTTCCCGTGCGGCTGGGGCTACATCCTGCTCAACGTGGCCGCCGGCTACCTCTACGGCTTCGTGCTGGGCATGGGCCTCATGGTGCTGGGGGTCCTCATCGGCACCTTCATCTCCCATGTGGTCTGCAGGAAGCTGCTGGCGGAATGGGTGCTGGCCAGGATCCAGGGCAGCGAGAAGCTCGCCGCTGTCATTCGCGTGGTGGAGGGAGGAAGTGGCCTCAAGGTGGTGGCTCTGGCCAGGCTCACCCCGATACCCTTCGGGCTCCAAAACGCCGTCTTCTCGGTGAGTAGCTCTTTGCAAGAAGCTCAGGGGTGCCCGAAGGGATGCTCTTTGCTCTCAGATGCCTGGCTTCTAAAGGGCATTAATACAGAATAGAAAGCACTAGAGAGCCATTTGGCAATAGAACATATATTCTGCCGAATCTAGGTTTTGTGTTCAAATTGTCGATGGGGAGAATGCAAATGATATTGAAAAGCATTGCTTGTGGAGATGGGCTTGGACATTCAGAACTGTTTGAAAGATTTTTGGTTTTTCTCCATGGGAGTGGTTTTGAAAAGTTTGCCATGGAAGCATTTAATATATGGGAACCATAAGTCTGTGCTGATTATCCAGGAAAGATAAGTAAGGGCCAAATATACTTGAATGTATATAATGGTAACCCAACCTTCTCTTGTAGATCTGATCTGAAGCAGAGGTGCAGAGGCAAAATGATTCTTAAATCTTAGCCTGCATCAAATGACATCTTTTCCCCGCTTCTTGCAGGATTATAAAAGCGTAACTTTTAAAACACATAGGGAAAGCTATTTATGGTGCAACCCTAAACTCATTGAACACAATGAGACTTGGAAAACATGCATAGGATTGTTCTATTAGAGCAGGAAAAGGTTGAAGCATCCTTACCTGCTGCTGCCTCCACTGTTGATTAGCCCCACAGGCAGCAGTGTTTTATTAGGTCTCTTGGGCTACAATCAACCATTACGCACATTTGAGTGCAACTTGTACTTTGGTCTGAGTAGGATAGTAAATTCCAGCTGCCTCTTTCAGCTTTTCTGAAAAGTCTTCATGGCTTTTAAATTTCCACATAACTTCAAAAATTCCTTAAATGGAATTCGAAAATAATTCTTAAGGAGAATACTCCAGCATCAGAAAAAACTCCCATTTCCTTCTAACATCAAAAGAAAACTCTGTTAGAAGGAAATGAAGGTTCAATAAAATTATAGGGGCCAATTCTGTTCTTCAAATTTATGTGGTACCAAAGCATTACTGTTTTTCAAACTTGTGTCAACAATCCTCTTGATATTTAAAATAGGGCGGGTTAACTTCACATTTTCCTATAAGAAAGTTTTGGTACTGTTGAGTTGGGACTCTTGGAAAAAGCATGTGTCTATCTTTGTACAATTTTAAAGCTACAGAAGAGAACTTGCATCTAACCCTTGCTTGAATGTTATAAATATTTTAATCGTGTGACTTGATAAAAAAACTTACGTGTGCCTTACTATCTGTAAATAGGTGATCATAATAGGTTTGGTTTTTTGGGGCTGGGAAATCTTAACCATACTTTGTAGTTTGCTCATATTATAATTCCCTCCCCCATAACATGCAGAAAGAACATACAACTACGTAGATCAGCAGCAGTGCTATGCTTCCCCCAGAGTGTAAACATATCTTTGAAAAAATCCAGTTTACTAGAGTGACTCTTCAGTGATATTAGTGATAAAGGGGAAAAGCAAGTGTTTTAAAACACCAACAGTTTGAATTAGGGATAGCTCAGTTGGTAGAGCAGGAGAGACTTAATCTCAGGGTTGTGGGTTCAAACCCCATGTTGGCCAAAATATTCCTTCATTGCAGGATGTTGGACTAGATGACCCTCGTGGTCCCTTCCAACTCTACAATTCTATGATTCTGCATTTGTCACATTACCAATGTGTACCAAGGTACACATTACCTTACCAATGCAGTCTTATGCATGCCTACTCAGATGTAAGCCCCACTGAGTTCATTGGGGTTTACTTCCAGGTAATACTGTGTAGGGTGTATGCAAACTTAAAAAAAAGTTGGAGTTGACAATCTGGTAACTGAGTTTATTTTTTAGTACTTTTTAGAGGTTTAGTAAACCTTGTGAGTTTACTTTTTAGTAAGTGTGCTTAGAATTGCATCTTCAGTTACTTACTTTGGGATTACTGCTATGATGCTGAGCTTATGTGTTCTTCAGTTTGTGTTTATCCTTATTCTGTGATGCCCTCTTAGATAGTCTCCCAGCTCTTTGACAGCTGCTTCTGAGTAAACAGCTCTTGTGAGATGACTACAACATTTAAAGGACTGAACCATGTGGGCAGATGCTGATCGTATTGGTGTCTCCAAGGAATTGGTTCACGTCTGTGCAGTTCAGTCACTTAAACACTCTCCCAACCCTGTGGGAGTTGTTTACAGATAAGTGGCTTTCACAGTACCAGAAGATTGCCTAAAGGTGCCTGTGTGTTGCTCCTTAAAACGTACTGTGCATTAGTGCACCTGCAACATTTTAATTTGAGCCAGCGATCCTTTTTGGAGGAAGGGCCCCAAAGCGTAACTCAATAACAGTAGATCATAAAAGAGTATGAGACTGTGTGCATTTTTTGATAACGATATCACAGTGGTACTCCTAAGAGATAATAATGAAATTCAACAAAGAGTCTTGTGGCACCTTAAAGGCTTTTATTATGGCATGACCTTTGGTGCATCCATCTGGTGACATGGGTTCTGCTCCACAAAAGCTTTTGCCATAATCAGTTTGCTGGTCTTTAAATAACTACTCTTTGCTTTTTGCTTCAGCGGACTAACAAGCCCACCCTTTTGAAAATTGCTATAATGAAATCTAGTAATACTACAAATGGATGAACCATGGAAGACATTAAATCACATCTGTAACTCATTTCTGGAAAATCATATTTCAGTATGCTAGATACATAGGGACATCTGGATTCTGTAATTTAGTATGACATCTGGAACTCACTCCTTTCTGTTACTTTTTTCATTGTTTTAGTACCTGTGTGAAATTAATACTCTTTGATATGTGTAATATTTCATATACTTTTGGTATGTGTAATATTTCATTATACCTTCATGGTCTATCTTTTATGATGGTTTTTCAACTTCTTTATTTTTTTCGGGATATTCTGTCCTAGTTGTGGCCGCTTTTCACAAAATAAGGATATAACATAAATGGTGCAACATGTTAGGAGTCTGGTCCTAGCACTTACAATTGCTTTCTTAATGGCATTCTGCATGGGAATTTCAGGAAACCAAGGAACTTTTAAGTAGTCAGAGAAAAAGTAACCTAAAGGCTTGTCATTATTAGCACCCATCTGACTCGAGAGACAATGGAGTACACCTCTGGGGGTGAAGTCAAATCGCTGGAGAATCACAGCACCTGCTGTGGCTGCAGAGACCAGTAACTTGTAACAGCTGCCTCCCACATGGTTTTTGCTGTATTAACACCTAGTGCTATTAGTGACTTCTCTGGGGCACAAGCCTGAGCAGTGTGTTTGGAGGTATGGAGGTCCTGTGCTGCCCAGACAACAAGACTCCCTCTCAGCCTTGCTGATTTGGTACAAAGGAAAACAAAATATGTTTGGCACCAGCTTGGCTGCAGGAGTTGCTGAAAGGAGGCATAGGGACTTCACTGTACCTTTCTCACGAATTGCAATGGCAGCAGAGGTTTAGGATCAGAGTTTTCCTTTTCCCTTTTCTTTCCCGAGTTGACAAGCCCAGTTTGCCCCTCATTTCCCTCGACAGCACATACAGTAACTGCCTTCTTGACCATTGGACCCACTGTTGGTCTCATCCACTCAACCACCGGAGGCTGACTTTGTACATGGGGAGTCCCTAACTCACCAAGAGATTGAGACCCATTGGCTACCCTCACCTGGTTTAGCTGGGATGTGGCTGCTGTCGCATGCTGATAGCTTATCAGAGCCACAGGTGAGAGCTGAGTGCAGAGTGGCAGAGTGGGAATGAAAGGTGGAAAAGCTACCTCAGAAGGAGAACAGCATTTCCCCCACCAGAGGTACTACCCCTCCTCTAATACCCCATACACTTCAACTTATAGACTAGTTTCATAGAATTCTTACATTCTTACAGTGGTGCCTCGCAAGACGAAATTAATTCGTTCCGCAAGTTTTGTCGTCTTGTGATTTTTTTCGTCTTGCGAAGCACGGTGTCGGAAAAGTTTTGGAAAAGCTTCAAAAATCACCAAAGTCTTCAAAAACCTCAAAAAAGGCTAAAAAAGACTCCTCGAAGTCAAGTCGCAACTGTATTAACGGTGTTAAGAAAAGGAAACAAACTTGCAAGACGTTTCCATCTTGCGAAGCAAGCCCATAGGGAAAATCGTCTTGCGAAGCAGCTCAAAAAACAAAAAACCCTTTCGTCTTGCGAGTTTTCCGTCTTGCGAGGCATTCGTCTTGCGAGGTACCACTGTACATCCAAGTCCTTTATGAGTATAAACTGATATGACATGTGTGAATTTGTTCGGTGGGGTGTATACATCAAGCCCTTGAATAATTCTGGAATATCCTAACTGCAACCATCAGGTCATGCTAAACTGTTACAAGAGAGTAGATTCAGAGATTAATTATAATATCAAACAATTTCATTTAGCTTGAAAACATGGTGGTACTTCCATTACTTCTGTTACTTTTGGAAGCTTGCAGAAATTGCTTGTATGTGATTCTAAGTATTCCTTTTAAGATGGAACAGTAAAAACTGCGTGGAAGTACTCCAGTACAGGAAATTAGTAAATAATGATCTGTTGGAATAAAGGTACTTGGAGTCTGTTAGGAACACTTAGATATCCATGCTGCCCAGTCCTAAAATTGTGTACAGTACAGTACAGTACAGTACAGTAAATTCCAGTATGTTCACTGGGACATAATCCCTCCCTTTTAGGTAAATTAGGGTTGCAATTATAAACTAGGTTCCTGGTTGTGAAAGGCAAGCATCTTGAGAGAGCAATTCCTTTTTGAGTGCCTTTAGTTTATCTGTTCTGCAATGCAGTGCAGTGTGCAGGACTGTATATTAATGGATGCTTGATGCATGAAGCTTTCCCTACACAGATAAAAATCCAAGTGCAGAGAATCACACTGCACACACGAAGGTGAATTTCTCCATGTGATCAATGGCAATAGCCTCCTTATTTGATGATGTAAAAGGTTTGATGATGCTGATGATTTTATTGCAAAGCTTAGGTAGTTGTAAAGCAGTAAAAAAACAACAACACCCAACCCTCTCCCATGTAGGTTGGTCAG